CGCATCAACTTAAAATTAAGCTGAGAGAAGGATCCGGAAAACTCAAAAAATCAAAGCTGCTGAATCCCAATATCTACATCAAACATTCCAGTGCAATGCTGGGGCTGCACTGTATTGTTGGTGGCACAGACCTATGGATGAGACCTTAAACCGAGATCCGACACTACTCGAAAAAAGGAGATTTTCCCGGTGTCCTGAACAAGAATCCCCAGAACAAATAGTTTGTTTGGTTGGACACCAGGAGGAACTCCCTTCACTTTTTGGAAAGTGCCATAAGATCTTTATTGTCCACCTAAACACCAGATGGGACCTCAGTTTAACTGAAGGACGGCAATTGTTGGATAACAATGCAGCAGACCCTCAACACTACTGCCGTATCAGCCAGTCGGTGAATTCAAAAGTCCCAATGTGGGGCTTGAACCCACAAAGTTCTGACTGATAGGCAAGAGTGCTACAGACTGAGCCAGTCTGACATTCTCCTTTTCTTACTGACACACGCTGAAACGGGGTTAACTTCTGTGGGACATTGCTGAGTGCAAATACAAACATACAGCTATTGCACCTTACAGCAACGCTCTTGTGAAGCATTTTGCAAAGTCTCAAAGACAGTACATCAAATGCTAGGTATGCAAGAGATGGATGGAAGACTGGTGGTGGGACGGAAGAGATATTAAAGGATGTGGTGTGAAGGCAAGGCACTGGGGTTAGAGGAAGGTAGAGCGTGGGTTGCGAAATAGTCTGTGGCAGAGCAGACTCTGAATGGCCTCCTCCTGTTCCTGAATTTCTTTGCGAGTGCTTTGTTAAGTAACACAGTGTTGATTGGGTTTACACGATGTGTCCTATAGGAGGTGCGTTTGGTAACAACAGTTCCATTTGCTTCAGGGATAGTGGGTTGAGTTTCTGTCGTTCTAACTTGAACTTATTGAGCCCTGAGCTGAACATAATAAGAATATCCAGGAATTCATAAAGGATCTATAAAAGCTTAAAGTAGGGATATATATATGCAAGTTGTTGTGGTTGTACTGTATTTGGATTAAAAACTTGACCGAAATGATAAAATAAATTTTTGCACTTCATAGAGAGCCTTGGTCATGTCTGGAGGACGCCTCAAAGCGCTTCACAGGATATACAGTTAAGTACAGTGACTGTGTATTTCATGGATGAACGCGGCAGCCAATTTACGCACAGCAATGTACCATAAACAGCCATGAAATGAACCACCAGTTTTATCGGGGGGATTGTTGACCAGGTCACTGGGAGAAACTCTCTTCTCTTTTCAAATTGCGCCATGGGACATAGGAACATGGGAATTAGGAAGAGGATTAGGCCATTCAGCCCCTCGAGCCTGCCCCGCCATTCAATAAGATCATGGCTGATCTTCTAACCTAACTCCATCTTCCCGCCTTAGCCCCATATCCCTTAATCCCTCTATCCTTTAGATAGAGGATGTTTAATGTCCATCCGAAATAGGCAGACGGTACTTCAGTTTAACGTCTCATCCGAAGCACAAAGCCTAAAGTATCTCATTTCAAATACTCTAGACATGCAAGGATGTTTAAGACATCTTAACATGTGCTCTGATGTCATTCCACCAGGAGGCGCATTTCAGCAAACACACCCCTCCCTTCCTCCCAGCCAAGCTGTCAGATTTCATGCCTCCGCTACTCAGCCAATAATGCAATAAACAATAAAGCAGAACAATAAAATAATAAAGGCTGTAATAAGAGACATTGAATACATCAGTGAGGACTGTGCTTCAAAGTTACTCATCAGGAATCCAGCTCTTTATTATAGTTGTTAGTGTCGCCTGCTGCGATTCTGCTTCTTTGAAACTACACACGAGCCCACAAATACAGTTTCAAGTTCCTCACTCACCGTCATGCCCTGGCACCTGCCTATCCCCGTGATCTTCCCCCACTCTGAGTTGACTGGGACTTGCTCCTCATCCCTGCTCTGTCTACACCACCATCTGTGGCTAAGCCTTCAGCCCCTAAGCCTATGGACTATCTCTCTAACGCTCAGTCTCGCCTCATCTCTATCTATAATTAAATCGCTCATAAAAACCTACCTTCTCGATTGCGCCTTGGGAGACTTTCTCCGACCCATTTGCGAAGCCCAGGATCAAGGGGTAAGGTGGATTTCTGTCAAACATCGGAAGCGGCTACAGGGAGCGAGGGTTAGGGCTCGCTCCCTGTAGCCGCTTCCGATGTTTAACAGAAAGTCACTGACCTGTGACTGAACACCCTTGAGGCGGAGGTGGCTTCACAGAGGGCAGCTGAACTGGCTCCGAGGATATACGCTTGGCAACGGAAGGTCAGAGTTAAGTTAATCCTCCGTGGAGGTCTCAGTGGTCTGGTTCCCGAGCCAGGATGACAGCACTCACTGGCTCATTGGCAGGACGTGGAATTACAGACCATTTATTGGAGGCAGAGATTCTTCACACTCAACTCCCATTAACCCTAAAAGTCAAAGCGCTCACTGGTAGTCTGGTCCTAGCTGGAGAAACATGCTTGCCAGTCACTGCTATCAATGGCAAGCTATGCGGTTCCGGGTTAAACTCCAGCAGTTACCCCCAACGCACATTCTGGGGTCTGCAAACTTAGCTCCCGCCAGCCCGCACCTGATACTCTCCAGAATTCCAGACATTGTCCTGACGAGAAATACGCTATTGAGTGTTGTATTGTATTGGCAACAACAAGATTACCTTTTCTAAAGCACCCGAACTAGGTAAGCACGATGGTGTCCCTCCGGTGAAAGAGCGTGCGTTCCATTCCAGTGAGCCCTCTCTTCCTGGGTGGCAGCTACAGCGAAATACGGACAGCACATAAAAGCAAAAGTTGGCGTTTGATCAGTCAAAACAGGTCACTGCAGACAGCTCACGGTTTAAAGGAAGTTTAAGTTTAATTATAATTGTGTAGAAAAGGCTTCAGACTGTAAGAAGTCGATTTTGAGAACTTGGTTGTCATCTCCATCCCTGTGTGTGTAACAGCTTTAACAAGGCCTCAGTAGCATTATTTTCAGTGTGATGGATACATTCATATTTCAATAGAATTTGCTACAATTAAACACACAACAAAGTAAATATACAGTGCACAATAATAATAATCTTTGCATAATAATCTTTGGGGGGGGAAGGGAAGGGAAGGTGGGTGGCTGATGGCATGGTCGAAGAGGAGGGTCTTGAGGCGGGACTTGAAGGAGGCTAAGGAGGGGGCGAGGCAGAGTGACTGGGGGATGGAATTCCAGAGGTTGGGGGCAGAGTGGCTGAAGGCTCTCCCTCAATGGTGGGGCGGGTGGGTCGGGGGACGTGGAGCCGCCAGAGTCGGCTGAGCGGAGGGAACAGGCGGGTTGGTAGGGGGTTAGGAGGTCACAGAGGTAGGGTGGGGCGAGGCCATGGAGGGCTTTGTAGGTGAGGACCAGGATCTTGGACTGGATCCTCCGAAGGATAGGGAGCCAATGGAGTTGGGCGAGAATGGGGTGATGGGGTCACGGAGTTTGGTGCGGGAGAGGACACGGGCTGCAGAGTTCTGGGTTATCTGCAGCCTGTGGAGGGAGGAGTTGGGAAGGCCAACAAGCAGGGCGCTTGCATAGTCGAGCCTGGAGGTGATGAAGGCATGAACAAGAGTTTCAGCGGCCTGAGGGGTGAGGTAATGGCTAAGTCGGGCAATTTTACGGAGGTGAGGGAAGGCAGAGCGAGTCATGGCTTGAATGTGGGGGAGAAAAGACAAAGTAAATTGACTGCATAATTTCTGGGCGAAACGCAGAGAAAATTGCCCACAGCAGAGTCCCACAAACAGTCATGATTTGAGTGATTTTTTAAAAAAATATGACTTAATGCATGTGTCAGGAACAGTGTTTGTGAGCTTCGTGAAATCCACAGCAAAGGACAAACAATGTTTTTCTTTACCACGTGGGTAATTAACGACTGGAACAGGAAGGATGGTTGAGGCCAGGACACTGGAACTCATTTTAAAAAAAGTAGCTTGATCCTGTGATAGGATGAAGGATGAGACCAGATGAGCTGAAAAGTTTATCCAAACTAATCTTGTCATAAGTTTTCATCAATGATGTAGCACAGTTCATTTGGTACTTATAAGAAAACAGCAGTCGTTTTTACCAGCAGTTTAAAGGCTTATATACCGATAATAGTCCTTGCATTTATAATAATACTTTCATTTTATATAGCGCCTTATCACGTCTTCAAGACATTTCAAAGCACTTCACAGAATATAAGTGATATGACTGTACATTTTGTGGGTGAAACGTGGCAGCCAATTACGTACAGCAGTACCTTATAGTTGTTAAGACGTCGATTATAGTAACAGTCCTTACATTTGGTATTGCACCTTACACATCAGGAGGACGTCCCAAAGAGCAGGAATTTACCATGAAATGTATTGACTGTGTATTTTATAGGCTACTGCGACAGCCAATTTGCCCACAGCAATGTTCCACAAACAGCCATGAAGTGAGCGATCAGTTTTATATGTGGGATAAAGTACCCTATCTAGCCTCCTTTTAAAGATGCCGAATGATTTTCAGAGCATTAAATTAAGTCCAGGGAAGCTTTCATTAAGGATCGACAGAAATAACTCATACAACAACTTATATAATTCCGTTGACATAGGACAATGTCTTGGAGGAGTTCGCAGAGACGGGGTTGGAGAGCAAGTAAGTGGGAAGGGGGAGGTGATCATAGATGTGGTTGAAGAGGTAGATTTTTAGGTGGGATTCCATATCCTGTGTGAAATACCCTTAACGCCCTTACTTCCCAAGCCTGCCAGTTCAGGACGACATTAAAGATCTCTTGGCACTATTAAAAAAGTGAAGAGAGTTTCTCCCAATGTGCTGGGTGATATCCCCTCAAATAACATTTGTCATTCACTTCATGGCTGTTCATGGGATATTACAGAGTGCAAATTAGCTGCCTACAAACACACAGCGGTTACACTTGACAGTAAATCCCGTGAAGCGCTTTGAGACGTTCTCTCAACGTGACATGAAAGGCGTTGTATCAAATCCAAGGTTTAGTTTAAGGATCTTCCTTGTAAAGATCTCACATGATTCTGTAGATGGTGATGATGTCTTGAGAACATCCTGTATGACGTTCTAGGGCCGAGTGCACAGACCTCGGTGTGAAGGAGTCTTAACGGACACCTCCTTATTTTCAGCTAAAGTTTGGGTGGAGAGACCCAAACGGAAGTGTGCCCGTAAAACATGAGAGAACCTAACCTTTCCCAATGGGGGAGTCACAGAGGTCACCACCTTCTTGTGAAGATGTGACTCAGAATAAGTTCAGTGTCCGTCAGAGGCTCATTCATAAAATCTGTCCTGGTCACTGAAACCCATCGGAGACTCATTCATATCGTGCTCGATGGGAACGTTAATCCCTCTGTTGTTGCTGCAGTACTCACGGTCGTGCCTACAATCGGCCACTTGTCCGAGCGAGGTGTGGCTGTACATTTCCGAGGGGACAGCGCAGCTCACAGCCCCCATCAGGCCAGCGCTGGGGTTGTTATAGACCCCCAGGTGGGAGTGACTCTGGTAATGCTGATGGTAATGCTCAAACTCCGGGCTGCAAGTCATGCTCCGCACCGGGCTGTGAGAGGGGCTGTGGACCGGGCTGTGGGACGGGCTGTGAGGCATTGGGCACGTTACCAGACAGCTGTTCCTCCTGACCCCGCGGTGGATGTCCAACTTTGCGATCAGAGGCTTCCCCACATCCACCTCCTTGGCCTCTTCCACCAGCTCCGAGAGCCCCTGGTACTGATAGCGAAGGCAGACGGTGAACACTAGCCGCTCCTGGAGACCAGAGAGAGGGAAAGAGGGGAAGAAAGAGTAAGTGATGAAGTGATGTAAGTAACAGGATGTGTTTGTGTGTGTGTGTGTGTGTGAGAGAGAGAGAGAGAAAGAGAGAGAGAGAGGAAAGAAAGCAAGATAGAAAGCAAGAAAGAAAGAGAGCGCAAGAGAGAAAAAGAGAAAGAGCGAGAGAGAAACAGAGCACGAGAGAGAAAAAGCGAGCGAGAAAGAAAGAGGGAAGGAAAGAGCAAAAGGGAGAAAGTGAGAAAGAAACCAAGTGAGGCAGAAAGGAAGTGTCAAGTTCCGTTCACAACCGCATAAGGCAAAGTCCCACTACAACCATATCCACTTTATCTGGAATAACAGAGAAACTCCATTCTGCCCCGGATCTTTAACATCTACCTGAGCAGACAGACATCGCCTAGGTTTAACATGTCAAGTGGATGATGGTACCTTCGATTATGGAGTGCAGTGTCTACCGAGACTGTGAGCTGAAAGCCCCAAAGTGAGTTGGGACACTTCTGTGCACAACTGGCTACTGCGTTTCGCCCACAAAATACACAGTCACTCCACTTTACAGCATACGCAGTGAAGTGCTTCGAGCGGGCTCGGTGACGCGATAAGGCGTTCCAGCAAATGCAAGGATTATTATTATTAATATTATTGCAACCGACAGAGCCGAGCTGTCATGTGCTCGCTATGTTCCTAATTTACAGCCACAGGAGGAAACAAGCCAAGACCTTGGCAAAACAGTTGCGTTCCTGTACAATAACACAGCATGTTCAAGTTTATAAAGGGAAAGGTCAGGTTTCACCTAGGCAAACAAATGCTGGCAAAAGACACTTAAAATTGCTCCCAAATGACTGACACTGTTATGGGGGAATACTTGATACGGGGTTCCTGTAATATTTCAGGTTCATGTGTCCATCAGTTGCTGGGTTCAGAATTGGTACAGTGCATCAAGCCAGTAATATTTCATCCTGGGAATTATCACTGTTGACATGAATGAAGAAGCTAAACAGGTGCCTTGCAGGAAAGCTGCCAAATACTGAGTGTGTTTTGTTTTTCCTCTTACTGTCTTTTTTTAATAATAATAATCCTTACATTTGATATTAAAAAAGTATTCGGTCACTCAATCCGTCACTGCTTCTGGGTCCCTGCTGTGCGTAATTGGCTGTCGTGTTTCACCCACAAAATACACAGTGAATTCACTAGATAGTATATATGCGAAGCGCTTTGAGACATCTCAGCGACATGAGAAGGCACTGTTTCAAAATTCAAGGATTATCCTGCCTTTCGCATCAAGAGGGCAGCTCAAGAGCTTCACAGGAATTTACTGTAAACTTTGGTGACTGTATTTGTAGGCGAACCGACAGGCAATTTGCGCAAAGCAAACAGCTATGAAGTGAATGACCCATGTTATATGGGCGAATTGTTTGCCAGGACACTGGGAGAAACTGATACGACTTACGTGAGTGTTACTGTATAGACTGGGAGCATTGAGATGTTTTACCTTTAACTTCTGCAAGGCGCTCAGCCTTGTGTACAGACACTGCTCCGGGAGATCTTTGGAGAGCAAATAGCTGCCTGTTTCCTCTGGAGTTCCTCGGTTGGTCTTCTTCGGATCTACATCCAGGTCCTGTCCTCACAAAAAAGAAAAAACAATCATGAAGACTCCCTTTCCTCCACAATCAAGTGTTCCTTTAGGTTCTTGGCGCCCCTCTTACCATCAAGTTGACTGTAGTTTCTGAACCTCGTTCTGAACAGAGTGGATTTATTATTATATTATTGTTAATATGAATTTTCCAAAATTAAGTCTTGAATTTTAAGACATAATAATAATAATCCTTGCATTTGATATAGCGCTTTTCACGTCTTCTAGATGTCTTCATAGAATATGCTGTAAAGCAAATTGACTGTATATTTGTGGGTGAAACGCGGCAGCCAATTGCGCACAGCAATGTTCCACAAACAGTCGTGGACTGAAAATGACCAATTTATTCTTGTTTTGTTTTGGAGGGATTATATCGACATACACTCAATATAGGGCCTTATCACATCATAGAGATATCTCAAAGGGCTTCACAGAATATACTGTAAAGTGGATTGACTGTATATTTTGTGGGCAAAAACGTGCCAGACAGTTGCGCACAGCAGCGTCGGACAAACAGTTGTGGATTGAGAGACTAAATTATTTATTTAGTGATTTAATTATTTTGAAGCGATTATTACCCCCGGAAAGGGATCTGCCAATTGACTGATTGCCCAATTGCGCACAGCAGTGTCCCACAGACAGTCATGGATTGAGTGACCAAATTTTTTGACAGATTATTAACCCCGGAAAGCGATCCGCCAATCGACTAACTACCGAAATGATTAACTGATAATCTCACCGTTGGAAAATCTGTCACATAAGCATCGCACATTACAATTTCCTTGGGCTTCCCTACGATCCGAGTGTAAATGATCATGACATTGGAGAACTCTGCAGCGAAGCCCAGCTGGATTTTGACGCCACACTCAAAGTCAAGCCATTTGCTCTCGGGCAGCTCTGGAGAGAACAACAACAACAACAAATTACATCTGTACAGCGCCTTTCACATCAGTAGGACATCCCAAGGCGCTGGACAGTAAAGGATTTGCAACCGAGCTGGGGAATGGGATCAGGAGGGGTGGAGAGCAGGGAAGGGTACCAGTAGGAGGGCAACCAAAGGTGTAGTAGAAACTTGCCTTGAAGGAGGCAAGAGAGGGAGCGAGGCAAAGGGCCTGTGGGATGGAGTTCCAAAGGGTGGGACAGAGAGGCTGAAGGCCTGACCGCCAATGCTGAGGCTAGCCGGGCAGAGGATATGGAGCAGGCTGGATTCCACTGAGCGGAGAAATGGACAGGTCAATTTGGAGTGAGCCCCCACTACCTTGTCCCACTCACAACCAAGCCCCCCTCCCCCCACTCATACCCAAGCCTCCCTCCCCCACTGACTTCAAAGCCCTCCCCACCATCCTCCCCCTTCTGCCCCCAGCCTGTGCCTCTCCTCACCATGAGCCTTTGCCCACTGCAGGTTACGTGCGAGGGATTCCACAGAGCAGCCTGAGGAGCGGATGGGATCGGTCAGGGCTCTCTTCTCACTCAGACTGCTGCGGATCTCCAGCGCCTGCTTCCCCTTCGTCAGGTCACAAGTCCCCATATCTGCAACACAGCAAAGACCCGACAGGGCTGTTAGCTAAAGCTCCGGAGGTTACCAGCCTCTTCACTCCTCCTCTTGATTTCACCTCAGAACTTTCACCTCAGATTTACGTCTTCAAGCACTGCATTGAGCTGTAGTGAGGAGCCAGCCCTCGGCACATTAATCTACAAGGAGCACAGTCTGAGCAAGGCGTGGTAGACCGCCATCTCCAGCGCAATGCCCCCTCCCTCCCAGCGCATCGCTCCCCCATCGCCACTCCGAACCCCCCTCTCCCTTCCCTCCCTCTAGAGCGCAGCAGAACCAGAGTTTAGTATTTCGCTAACCAGCAGCTGTTTTGATGTTAATCAAAACATCTAAGAGTGAATCCAGTTACAACTCTTGATTATAACATGCTGTGTTATAGAGCACCCAATGACACTGCCCCAGTTACTACGCACACAATTACATCGTGTCTGGTTACACCACGCTCGGTTACACCAGCCCTGGGAAGCCCTTGCCTTGAGGCCCCTGTGGCCTTACCTTCAGCCACCCGGTCGAGTAGCACAGTGATCTTCTCATCCTCCAGCAGCCGCTCCTTCAGGAATTTCATAAAGATCCCATTGGCTAAACCGTAGTGCTGGATCTCAAAGGCCTCGGCCCCCTGGCACCTGCCAACAGAGACAACACACCTCAGCCAAGTCCACAGGGAGTTCAATCGGGATTCAGCCCCAGTTAAAGTGTCTGATCAGGTAAATGGCCTCCTGCTCACTCCCTTCCTCACCTCGTTTAAGGCATGAAGTGAGGTGAGAGCACGAGAGGGTGGGGGAGGGGGTGGTGGAGAGAGGGAGGGGAGGTGACCGATGGCACGTTCAAAGGGGTAGTTTTTTGGGGAGAGGGTTAAATACAGTCGGGGAGTGGGCGAGAGGGGATGGCAAGGGGGGAGGCAATACAGAGGAACATAAACCTTACGTTGCGTATCCAAACACAATGTTGGCTGTGACTCTCAACGCCTCCACGTTGGGGATGGTGTCATCATACACATTCCTGCAAACACAGAATCGCACAGTTCAGCCGTCCGTATAATAACAACAATAATCTTTGCATCGCAAAGCGTCTCAAAGCGCTTCACGGAATATTGCTTTGGAAATGTGGTTAAACTTTATTTTATGTTCATGGTGAGTGAGCAACTCGCTGTCTCACTCATTTATTCGTGCATCTGTGCACATACTCGCTCAAGTGCCATCATGCCCACACTTACTCATACCCATCAATCACTCACTTACACTGAGTATCCAGAACAGGCCAAAACAATTACACTTAACGAAAACTAAAAAACAGCCAGTCAGGAAATCTTAGTGAATGACAGAGCCCGTCCCTCGGCTTGGCTCAGTACCTTTTCCTACACATGTCCAGAAGAAATACATTCAGCCCAGTCTCTTTCTCCTGCATTAGCTTGAGGATGCTCTGCACACACAAGCAGTGTGCAGACCTATAGGGATTCGGAGCATTAATTGGGACCATAAAACTGTTTCCGTAGTTTTCGTAACCATGACCAGCGTAGTACAGCAAACCTGTAACAAACAGTCAAGGAGAACAAGTCAGACACCACAACAATCTGCACTTAGTTCAGTACAATATAAACTAAATTACCTTAATATAGCGCCTTTCAGGTCAGAAGAACTTCCCAAGGCGCTACCTTATTACATAGGATAACTTGTCATAGGATAACATAGGATAAAGAATATTCATTTAGTCACTCAATCCATGACAGTTTGTGGGACAGATACTGCTGTGCGCAATTGACCCCGCGTTTCACCTACAAAATATCTAGTCAATTCACTTGTACTCTGTGAAGCGCTTTGAGACGTCCCATCGACGTGTTAATATATATTATCATTATATTCTCGAAGCACTTTAAAGAGAGTGTGCATCACCTGGCTCCTGTTAACACTGCAAGCCAAATCCCTAATGGGTAGGGTGGGGGTGCCCCAGTTTGGCAAGCAGCAAAAAAAAAAGCGTGCCAGACAGTGCTTTCAATAGAAAGCTATGCGGTTTTGGCCTGGTTAGACTCCAGCAGTTATTCCAACGCACACTCATCACAAGCCGTGACTCACTCTCCAGAATTAGGTGAGCACTCTGCATCCCTCCGGAGAGGAGAGAGAGTGCATTCCATTCCAGTCACAGGGAGAAGTCCACTTACATAATAATAAATGAATGTAAGGATAATTCATTAATTATTATTAATAAAGTAATGGTAATAGCAGTAATACTGATTTATGAAACGTTAAGTGCTGGAGTCATTTAAGGGTTGATTTTCTATCTTTCCTCCATTTTGCTCTCTCTCATTCACTTTCTGTTCCTCACTCACTCTGACTCACTTCCCTTTCGCCTTTAGCTGACACAGCTTCAGACAGACCCAGGCCAACCAGCAACAGGTAGGGAGAGGAGAGAAGCAGATAGCTTCTGCTGACACACATTTCTTTCAAAGATAGAAATAGATACATGTGCAGAAGGTGTAAATCCCAAACGTAAAGGCTGTGCAATTTGTATCCAGCATTACATAAGAGTGCAAAAGAGGACCTTTTAGCCAATGGGGCACAGAGCCCACTGACTAAATGTCAGAGGCTCCAATTGCCTCGTGTCAATTCAGACTTGGAAGGACTGCAAGATTTCACACAGGGCCTGTTACCTGATACTCAGGCCACTTGTGGACAACAGTGTTTTTCATGCGTATCCTGTGTTTACGAAGCTTGCAAAGTGCCTCACAAAGGCAACAACAAATTACAGCGCCTTTCGTGTCGGGAGGACATCCCAAGGCACTTGACGGTCATGGATTTGGATCCGAGCTGTTGATTGGGATCAGGTAGGGTGGAGGGCAGGGAGGGTAGGGGTAGGAGGGTAGCCGAATGCGTGATTGAAGAGCAGGGTCCTGAGATGTGCCTTGAAGGAGGCAAGAAAGGAAGTGAGGCAAAGGGAATGTGGGCTGGAGTTCCAACTGGTGGATGCAGAGGCTGAAGGCCTGACTGTCGATGGTGGGGCAGGCCGGGCGGGGGAACGTGGAGCAGGCCGGTGCCTGCTGAGCGGAAGGAGCGGACAGGTTGATATGGGGTTAGCAGGTCACAAAGGTAGGAGGGGGCAAGGCCGTGGAGGACCTTGATCCTCTGGGGGATGGGGAGCAGTGGAGCCGGGCGAGGTGGGGGTGATGGGGTCACAACAACCATGTCGTGACCCTCACGTAAGGTAGTGTCCCAGAGCCTTACAAAGACAATGGAGATCTCTGAACAGAAAGGAGTGGAGTGAAGGTAAATGGCCAGAGACACTTGAAGGAAAGAAGGTGACAGGATCAATGCTTCGAAAATACACACTACACTTCACAAGAAAATCCCAAGAAGACTTCCTTCCAATGTGAAAGACGTATTGAACGTAAGGATTTTTAAGGCAGGGAGCACTGGTGACTGGGGCTATAGTGGCTGAAGATATTTAGAACTATAGAAATTCACAGCGCAGAAGGAGTCCATTCGGCCCATCAAGTCTACACCGGCTCTCAGATTAAGCTGTTGATTCAACAACACCTTGTATTTCTATAGATCCTTCAAGTTGGGGTAGCAACTTGGAGCCCTCCAATCCCACTGCTCTTCAGAGATGCAGCCTGACCTGCTGCGTGTTCCCAGCGACTTCTGTTTCTATTTCAGATTTCCAGATTTTTGCAGTATTTTGCCTTTTCTTCAAGCCATTAACTGTCTACTTCTCTCTTGAAATCCACAATGAACTCTGCCTCGAATACCTTACTTGCCGGGCATTCCACATCCCAACAGCTCTCTGTGTGAAAAAAAATCTCCTTTCGTTCTATAGGTCCTCCTGTCACTGACTCTCCTCCCAGTGGAATAGCTTCTCCCCAGTCACCCTGTCAAAAACCCTTATGTAATTTTGCACAAATCTATCAGCTCCCCTCTCAACCTTCTCTGATCAAATGGAAAAAGAGGCTGGCAGCAAAAAGTAGCTGGAAATAGATACCAACGAGCCCTTTGGCTGGTTCAAACCTCATCTCCTTCGTCCAGCCATCAATGCACAGGAGCAAGTAACAAATAAATAATGAATAATCCTTGCATTTGATACAGGTCCTTACCATGTCATCGACACGTCCCAAAGTGCTTTACAGGGTATACTGTAAAGCGGTGTTACTGTGTGTATTTGCCGCCAACAAGTTCCCCAACACTTCCCACAAGCAGCGGTGCAGTGAGTGACCAATTTATTTAGGGGCTTGTTGGCCCCGACACAGGTATAAACTCACTTCTCTTTTCGAGTAGTGTCATGGAATCTTTAATGTCCACCTGAACAGACAGACTGGACCTCAGTTTAATGTCTCATCTGAAGGAATAGAACATCTGACAATACAATGCACCCCCAGCACTGCATTGGAATATCGGCCTTGATTATATGAGTTCCAAGTCCTGACGTGGGGCTTGAACCCTCAACCGTGTGACTCAGAGGCGAGAGTGCTACCAACTGAGCCAGGAAGTAACAACCTCTGGGGACCTGGGTAGGCCAGTCAGAAACTGGTATTTTAGCCCCTGCCCCTGATCTTCGAACTTGTTCAGGTCGACATGTGGCAATGGGAAGGGGTCAGACTCTTTCACCAGGGATCTCAAGGTAAAGACTAAAGATGACGTACTCAGGATTGAAGACTATAAATAGCCTGAGTTAAAAGGCAAAGTCCATCACTTGGAGTCCTGTAGCTTAGTGGTTAGAGCACTCGACAATTGACTAACAACCGGGTTGCTACTCACTGCTAGGTAAACAGCGGTGTGTGGACCAAGGACTGCCTAAGGTTTTGCCTCGGCCGGGAATCGAACCCATGTCCTCTCGCTTAATAATAATAATAATAATCCTTGCATTTGATATAGCGTTTTTCACGTCTTCTAGACGTCCCAAAGCACTTCACAGAATATACTGTAAAGTGAATTGATTGTATATTTGTGGGCGAACGCGGCAGCCAATTGCGCACAGCAATGTCCCACAAACAGTCGTGGATTGAAAATGACCAATTTATTATTGTTTTGTTTTTTGGAGGGATTATTATTAGGTCTGTGGAGTAAGGAAACTTGCCCAAGGTTTCGCCCTCTGCCTGGAATTGAACTCGGGTCTCTCGCTTGCAAAGCGAGTGCTCTAAGTCACAGTGTGATGTACTCTAGCCCAGGCCTGAAGGGGCCCAGAGGAAACGTACCATACACTCCCTTGTCCAGCAAGAGCAGGAATTCATAGACAGCGTTCCTCATCTCAAACTCGGTCAGGTCCAGCAGGGAGACCACCTTGAAGTCCAGCTGTCTCAGCAGGTTAGTCAGCTCATACACGTCCACCATGGGGGCCTTCAGCTTGGGGTGGTTGTGGTAGGACATGTTGCCGATCAGAAGAGCCACCTTGTCAGTCGCTGCTAAAATAGGAACACCTTAAGAGTTTGAGAGGGAATAAAGGAATGGATGGAGACTCTTGAGCACGGTAAAACGCACATAAGTCTTTGTAAATTGTATAAAGAGCTAAGTTGTACATTCACCCGAGTCCCATTCAGTTTCTTACCAAAACTACTTAGATTTATTTGCACTGTTCGTATTAATCACCTCCTAACTCAAAAGCCACTCCCTACCCTTGCAGGAATCGTATTCTTGATCCATCCACCCACGCACAGAACTTAATTACTCGCGATTCATTGCAATTCCAATGCCTTGATGGTAAGTACACATATGGCGACAGATACACGGTCATCTCTCTCCCTCCACCACCCCCCCCGACCACCCCCCCGCAACCCCCTCAGCTCCAATGCCAAGGCAGTACTGTTAAGCCCCTTGGGAAACCCTCCTGAAATGAATGGAGCTGTGGAAATATACATTTGCATTTGTTACTCACCAAAATGTCTTCGGTTGAAGTCTAGCTGTCCAATGTCAGCTGGATTGCCTGATAAACAAATTATATTCTTTCATGGAAATGGTTCATATAATGGTTGAATTGCAATGTGATCTTGCTCAAGTTCTAGCCTTTGCTGTTGTAAAGCTGTCTGCGCTGACATTAACTCAACAACAACTCAATTTTGCATTCATTCGGCACATTATTTAGGATATCTCAAAAAGAGAATGTCAGACGAGAGTACTACTACAGCCGGGCTGACAGGTACCCTATTAACATCTGTCATTAATACAATCTCACAAGTTTCTCTGAGGAGTTTCTCTGATGGAGAAACACACTTACTTGTTTCTTCAGGAAGCATCAACCCATCTGAAAGAGATTCAGATACAAAGATTCGTTTAAAAAAAAGCCTTTAATTTTTTAAAATTAAAATGGAACAATTTTTAATTCTTCCCAACCAAAGGGATGAAATTCCACATTGTCTTAACAGTTACGATTAAGCGGAATTTTTGAAAGTTTCTTCAATTTCAGTCGTAATTTGGAAGCCAGTTTCTTTTTCTTTAAAATAACTGCTTTTCAAAACAATTCTTCACAATCTACAAAGGTTAAGATAAAATGATCTTCAGGCTGAGGACATTAGAAATTTAATAATAAGAATAATAATCCTTGCATTTGATATAACGCCTTATCACGTCTTCGAGACCTTTCAAAATGCTTCACAGAATATACTGTAAAGTGAATTGACTGTATATTTTGCAGGAGAAATCTCAGATCTGAAGCAACGTAACAGAAGCAATGTCCTTTTTGTTTTCTCGGGATTTTGACATATGCGAAAACCCATCACCATGCTTAAGGGTATTCAAGACTGAGAGTTCCACATATGTATGCCATCCCATATGGGGATTTCTCTGCATCTGGGATGGAATGCGCATTCTCTCCCTTTTGACATACTGATTTGCACAGTAGGCGTTAAGTGGCTCAAGCCAATTAAGTAGTTGGAGCACTCGCTTTGCAAGCGAGAGACCTGAGTTCAATTCCAGGCAGAGGGCGAAACCTTGGGCACGTTTCCTTACTCCACACAGAGCCTAATAATAATCCCTCCAAAAAACAAAACAACAATAAATTGGTCATTTTCAATCCATGACTGTTTGTAGGGACACTGCTGTGCACAATTGGCTGCCACGTTCGCCCACAAATATACAGTCAATTCACTTTACAGTATATTCTGTGAAGCGCTTTGGGACGTCTAGAAGACGTAAAAAGCGCTATATCAAATGCAAGGATTATTATTATTATAGTTGTAAGAGAAAGGAAGCCACCAGCAGTTAAGAGCAAAGTGAACCCTTCTGTGGTTAGTTCACTTTCCCAGAGGAAGATGAATAAATCATTTCTGCAATAATATTGCTTACAATAACAATAATAATCAGCGCATTTGATTGAGCACCTTTCATGTCAGGAGGACGTCTCAAAGCGCTTCACAGGATATACTGTAAAATGGATTTTTGTAGCCGAATGCAGCCACCAATTTGCGTACAGCAAACAACAGCAACTCGCATCTATTTAGCGCCCTTCACACAGGGCAGTGTCTTGGAGTGCTGACAAACAGTCACAAGGTGAATGACTGACTAAATTTATCTGGGGGGATTGTTGGCCAGGGCACTGTGAGTTTACGGTAAACTCTGAAACGCTTTGACCTGTCTTTTTTTGGTCAGCCGCAGAAGCCCATCACCGTGCATAAGAGTGGCCAAACCAAACTGAAAATTCCATGCATCCCACCAACACATGGGAATTTCAGAGATAAGATTGTTGGAATGGAACGCGCACTGTGTCCCTGGAGGGATGCATCCTGCTTACCTAATTCCAGAAAGTATTAGGCGTAAGTCGGCAAGAGCCAAGGCTTGGGGTCCCCAGAGCGTGTGTGGGGGGGTATTGCTAACCAGCTAAAACCACATCGCTTGCCATTGATATCCTCCCGATGTGAAAGGCGCTACAACCAATGTGGGGATCATTATCGTTTTATTTCGTAACATGCATCAGCGATTGTCATTCTAAGAATTTATTTAAATCTTTTTTGAGAAGAACAAAGAGTGACATTTTTGATTCCCACCGGACAGCTCACTCGAGAGGGAAACGAAAGGAAAGTGCTCAGTATGTATCGGAATTAACCCCGTCATTGACCACACATTACCTTCATCGCTTTCCACGGCAACTGATACATTGCACCTGGGTCCTTGCGATCAGAGGGAAGAGTATGTTTCAATACAGGCAAATCGCACAGCATGAAGGCGAAAACATTCATAAGTAGTTATTCATTCCAACAGAGAAATTGCGGGTTGCTTTTTGGCAAATAACTGTGATAGTTATCTCAGGTAAATGCCACATGGGTCGCTTGACTGATTATTCAGTTCAAGTGTATCTGTGATCACCAGAGCCATCCAATCGCTTACTGGCAAACACCAATTTTATAATAAAATAATATAATCCTTTATATAGCGCCTTATCACATCAGTGAGATGTCTCAAAGCGCTTCACCGAATATATTGTAAAGTGGAGTTACTGTGTATTTTGTGGGTGAAGCATGGCAACCAATTGTGCACAGCAGTGTCCCACAAACAGTCGTGGATTGAGTGACCACATTTGTTTCTTTTTGGAAGTGTATTACACCTGGAAAGCGATCCGCCAATCGACTAACAACTGGATTCTTACTTACTGTCAAGTGAACAGAGGCGTGTGGAAACATGCCTCAGGTTTTGCCCCACTTGGGAATCGTACCCAGGTCTTCTCGCTTGCGAGGCAAGTGGGCTAACCTATATGATTCCAGATGGAGGAACCCTGGTTGATATTTCGCCTACTCAACCCAGATCAATTACATTCCCCCATCTATTGTTGCAGCAGAAATTCACTGAGAGAATCTGGAGACCAGGAACAGGCCACCCTCTCAGATCTACACAGCCTTCATCCACCAGGTCAGGCTGCCAGGCAACAGAATATAATATATATATAATATATCTACCTTGCTTTTCTGATGGGGAAGGACGTGGGCCAGAGAGGAAGCAAAATAGATGGCAATAGCTTAAACTGTTTTTCATGTGCTGGTAAGACAACGACAAATAGGTTTTTGTATTCAATGAGTCATTCACGCACTATATGCTTGTGCAGATAGTGTTGATTCTTTGAAAAGCAAATTATATCAGATTAGATTTCTTTTAGGAAATAATATCTTGGGTTACAGTAAGCAGTTTGGGTCGTGACATGTGCATGTGACTGCCAGGATGGCAAACTGTATTGACCTTGTCTTCTTTTGTCTAGAAATTCTTATGTTCATATGCTTACCAATGACGACTTCAGCCTCTGTGCTCCAATAATCCTCTTTGCCATTAAAAACTCGACACCGGTATACTCCCTGATGCTGCGGGCTGACTCTCGCAACCTTATTTTAAGTTTAGAAAAAGACTTGTGAGAGATTTAGAACCATAAAGATGTGCTGGCACAAAGAAAAATTCATTCAGTTCCATTTAGCTACCTTTCTTCCCAACCCTCCTCCACCCCCACGTACCTTACCCCTGCAAAGAGTGAGTGTTCTGGAAGGATGAGATCAGATAGGCTGAAGGGCCTTCTTCATCCAAACCAATCTTATGAAATTACTCCTTTTTATCTACCCTTCTATCTATTTATCTCTAACCACCCTTTCCTCTCCAAGGTCCTGGAACGAGTTGTTGCTTCCCAGCTCCACTCTATCCCCCAGTGCCTTCGCCTTGCTTCCTCCCTCCTTTCCTCCTTCAAGGCCGGTCTCAAGACCTTTCTCTACAACTGTGCCTTCACCCCCCACTCTGAACTCTACCCTTCCCTCCCCTGACCATTTTCCCCTTGCTTGGGTCCCGACCTAACTGTCCAGCGCCTCGGGACATCCTCCCGACGTGAAAGGCACTCTATAAATGCAATTTTGTTGTTGTTGTCTGCTGTCACTCCCTTCACAAACCCCTGCAATCAAGTTTCTGTGCTGCCCACGGCACAGAAACAGCCCTGGTCAAAGTGACAAATGATATTCTGTCCATCTGCGACCAGGGCTTCCTCTGCCTCCTTGTCCTACTTGACCTCTCTGCTGCCTTCGACACCATTGCCCACTCTATCCTCATCCACCACCTCTCCTCTCACCTCAATCTTCATGGTTCTATCCTTGAATGGTTCAAATCGTACCTCTCACACCGCCTCTACTTCATCTCTACAAACAGTTTCTCCTCTAGCCCTCGTATCGTCTCGTGCGGCGTTCCTTGGTCCCCTCCTCTTCAATATCTATACGTTACCTCTTTGTAACATCATCCGCAGACATAGGGTTAACTTCCACATGTATGCGGATGACACCCAACTGTACCTCTCTGCCTCCATCTTTGACTCCAGGACCACTGCTGACCTGACAGAATGTCTGTCGTACATCAAGTCCTGGGTGAGAGCTAGCTTTCTTCAGTTGAATGTCAACAAGACTGAGGCCCTCCTGATTGGCTCCCATCAGCGCCTCCACACCTCAGGCACTGACAGCACCACCATCCAAGGATGCACACTCCACCTTACTAAGCCAGTCCAGAACCTTGGTGTCTTGTTTGACCCTCAACTATCCTTTCTACCCCACATCCATGCCATGTCCCGCTGCCTTTCCCCACCTCCGAAACATCACCCGGCTCCGCCACTGTTTCACACCACAGGCCGCAAAAACCCTGAACCCTCCTTCCAGCAGGGCGAAATGTTGGGCAAGTTTCCTTACTTCACACGCCTCTGTTTGCCCAGCAGTAAGTAGAAACCCGGTTGTTATAGTCGATTGGCAGATCGCTTTTCCAGGGGCAATAATTTCTTTTAAAAAATTGGTCACTTCAATCCACGACTGTTTGTGGGACGCTGCTGTGCACAATTGACTGCCGCGTTTCGCCCACAAAATATACATTCAATTCACTTTACAGTACTTTAAAGTGAAGCACTTTGAGACGTCTCGAAGACTTGATAAGGCGATATATCAAATACAAAGATTATTATTATTTGTAGGGAACATACAGTCCAGGCTGACACTCTTATGTAGTACTGGGGTATATGCTGCATTGTTAAAGATTCCTTGGCAGAATTTGAAGAGGGAAGGGAGTTTCTCTCTCCCAGTGTCCTGGCCAATAATCCCTCAAACAGAATCAGATACTCACTTAAGGAGGCAGTGCGTAAATTGGCTGTTATTATTGTTAAGAATTATTATAATAATCCTTGTGCTTGATATGGCACCTTATCATGTCCTTGAGACGTCTCATGCACTTTACAGAACATATATTGTAAAGTGGATGACTGTATGTTTTTTGTGGGCAAAAAAAAAGGGGCAGTCCACAAAAGTCATGAATTGAGTGACCAATTTTTTTACCCCAGAAAGCGATCCACCAAACGACTAACAACTGGGTTCTTATTTACTGTTATGTAAACAGCATGTGGAGTAAGGAAACTTGCCTAAGATTTCACCCAACCCAGGAATCAAGCTCGGTTGCAAGGCGAGTGCGCTAGCCACTATCCTACGGGCCTGCTCAATTGTTGCTAAGTGTACTAGAAATTACCTTGTAATGCCTTTCAGTGCAATCGACTCGTTCCCCATTTCTCAGCCATTGATAATGTGGCACAGGTACACCGATGGCCGTGCACTCCAATACCAACATGTCACCCACCATTCGATGCTGGGATTGAGGCTGGTTTATAATCTGGAGCCTGTTGTCCAAGAGCAGGAATGGTCTCCCTGGAAGAGAACACACATCGATAATCACCGAGTAGGAGCTGACAGTCAAGGGAACCTCACCAGGACTTCAGAAATGGGTGTGAAGAACCACAAAATTATACAATCACAAGGCTGGTTTGGATGAAGAAAGCTCCTCAGCTCAACTGATTTCACCCAACCTCCCTACGCAATGTCAAGCTGTTTTCTGAATGAATTTGTGTGCTGGCCCCCAACCACCCTTCCTGGCAACCTGTTCCATTCAGTAATTACCTTCAGGATGAAGACACACTTCCTGGTGGCTGTCCTGAAATTGCCCTTTGCTACTCCCAACCCTGTGTCCTCTTGACTGCTGTCTCAGTGCAGTCAGGAGTATTGTTATGAGTTTACTTTCTAAATCCAATTTTTAAAAAAATGTTTCTTCAGAGTTCTATAAACACCATCTAAGCTGCATTAGCTTGTCTAATCATTGCTCTTGGCATCATTGCTCCAAAACTGTGGCCCAGGATATCAAACCATTGTATTCAGCGATCTGCATAGAATTGTGAAAAATTCTTAATCTTAAATCTTAATTTGGGAGTCAAGTCTTTGATCGTTCTTAAAAACAAACCAGTTTCCAAATGAAGATTTTTCCATAAATTTGGAACCAGTTTCAATTTTAAGCTCGTTATTTGTCTTAAGGCTAAAACTGTGAACTCTTATATTCAGTTTTGATTTGGAAAAAGTTTTTCTGCAGAACTTTTTAAAAAAGGCTGGATTGAAGGTTTTTCCACAATTCCGCACTAAACCTAAATTTTAACACAAAATGGTCTTGCAGGCTAAGGCCATGAGAATTTTGTTCAGGTGGATGTTAAAATTCCCATGGCCCTATTCGAAAAGAGACAGGAGATTCTCCATGTGTTCTTGTCAACAATGGCCCAAATAAAATTTGATAATCACTTCATGGCTGTTTGTGGGACACTGCAGTGTGCAAATTGGCTGCCACGGTCACTCACAAAATACACAGTCACAAAGCTTCACAGTAAATCTTAAGAAGCACTTTCATACATTGTTCTGATGTGAAAGGCGCTGTGTCAAGTCTAAGAATTATAACAGGGCAGCCAAATTTGCAAACAGCAACGTCCTACGAACAGCCATGAAGTGAATGACCAATTTTCTGTGGGGGAATTGTTGGTCATGAGACCGGGAGAAACTCCTCATTTCAAATAGTGCCGTATGATCTTTAATGTTCTAAATAAAATAAGTTTGGGGCAGGTTAGGGTTAGAATGCATTCAGTTGAACACCGCAGCAATACACCAACAGTTTCCTGTTTAACTACACATGTTTATTTACAGTTCTCACAGCTGAACCACACTGACTCTGAAGAAACAAACATTGTTCTAAAACAGTGGTGACCAACCTATGGCTTGTGGGCCGAAGGCCACCAAGAAATGGCTCGCCGATTATTCTCGCTTGTCTCAGTGAGTCGTTGTTCAATCAATAGTGTGTTTCTACTTATTTCTTGATTGAGTATGTCTCGATTTACGGCATAAATTTTTTTGTTGTTCGCTGAACAAAATAGGTTGGTTATCATTGCTCTAAAGAGGCCAATTTTAGGTCAAACTGAGCCCCACATCAGCAGGAGATGCCAATATATAACTTAAAATAATAATCCTTGCATTTGATACAACACCTTGCCACATCATCACAACATCTCAAAGCGCTTCACAGGATTTTATTGTGATGTGTAGTGACTGTATATTAGTGGGGGAACTAAGCAGCCAAAAGAAAACATAATAATAATAATGATCCTAGCATTTGATATAGCACCTTGTCACATCTTCAAGACATCTCAAAGCGCTTCACAGAATATACTGATACTGTAAAGTGAATTGACAATATATTTTGTGGGAGAAACGCGACAGCCAATTGCGCACAGCAATGTCCCACAAACAGTCATGGATTGAGTGACCAAATAATTTTTTTTAAGGAATTATTATCTCGGAAAAGCGATCCGCCAATCAACTAACAACTGGGTTCCTACTTACTGCTAGGTAAACAGAGGCATAAGAAGATAAGAACATAAGAATTAGGAGCAGGAGTAGGCCATTCGGCCCTCGAGCCTGCGCCGCCATTCGATAAGGTCATGGCTGATCTTCTCACCTAACTCTAATTACCTGCCCTATCCCCATATCCCCTAATTCCTCTATTTTTTAAAAATCTATCAGCCTCAGCCTTGAAGATGTTCAAGGACTGAGCATCTACAGCCTTCTGGGGGAGTGAATTCCATAAATTCACTCCCTCTGAGTGAAGAAATGTTTCCTCAACTCTGTTCTAAAAGGCTGACCCTTAATTTTAAGACTGTGACCCCTGGTTATAGATTCTCCTACCAGGGGAAACAGTCCATCAGTGTCTACTTTATCCAGACCTTTAAGAATCTTATATGTTTCAATAAGATCTCCCCTAATTCTTCTGTACTCTAGAGAATACAGCCATAGTTTATTCAGCCTATCCTCATAGGTCAGTCCCCTCATCCCAGGAACTAACCGAGTGAATCTACGCTGCACCCCCTCTAAGGCAAGTATGTCTTTTTTTAAATAAGGAGACCAAAACTGCATACAATACTCTAGGTGCGGTCTCACCAAGGCCCTATACAGTCGCAGCAAGACTTCCCTACTCTTGTACTCTAAACCTTTTTCAATGAACGCTAACTGCCGTTCACCTTCTTAGTTGCTGCTGCACCTGCAAACTAACTTTTTGAGACTGGTGTACAAGGACACCCAAATCATTGATGTAAATTGTAAATAACTGAGGCCCAAGCACTGATCCTTGTGGCACCTCCACTAGTCACATCCTGCCAATTCGAGAATGACCCGTTTATCCCTCCTCTCTGTTTTCTACCCGTTAGCCACTCTTCAATCCATGCTAATATGTTCCCATTAATCCCATGGGCCTTAACCTTGTGCAATACCTTTTGTGTGGCACTTTGTCAAATGCCTTTTTAAAATCTAAATATAGTACATCTACTGGTTCCCCCCTATCTAACCTGCTGGATACATCTTCAAAAAATTCTAAAAGATTAGTTAACTGACTTCCCTTTTGTAAAGCCATGTTGACTCTGCCTAATCTTGTTATGATCTTCCAGGAATCCCATAACGACATCCTTAATTAAGGACTCAAGAATTTTCCCTACCACTGATGTCAGACTAACTGGTCTGTAGTTCCCCATCTCTTCTCTCCCACCCTTCTTAAATAGTGGTGATACGTTTGCAATCTTCCAATCAATGTTGAGTAAGGAAACTTACATCACGCCCTGCTGGGAATGGAACCCATGCTCTAACCACTGAGCTACGTGATGCCTTATCATGTCGTTAAGACGTCTCAAAGTGCTTCACAGAATATATTTTAAAGCTGACTGATTGTGTATTTTGTGGGCGAATTGCGGCAACCAATTGCGCACAGCAGTGTCCCACAAACATTCGTGGATTGAGTCATATAATTGCTTTTTGGGGAAGGGATTTACCCCCGGAAAGCGACCCGCCATTCAATTAACAAGCGGGTTCCTACCTACTGCTAGGTAAACAGAGGCGTGTGGAGAAAGGAAACTTGCCGAAGGTTTCACACCGTCCGGGAATCAAACCCGGATCCTCTCGCTAGGGAGGTGAATGCACTAACCACCATGCTATGGGACACCTACTTAAGAATGCATGCCTCAAGACACTCGAGAGACCAAAAATAAGAATGCATGATCAGTATTCTTTACTCTCTGTCTCACTGCAAAACAAGTCCTCTGCAGCTTCTGCACACCTGATACAAGCTGATCACTGAAGTTCTGCGTTCACACCCACACACCTATCACCGCCCACATGCCTACCATTCCTGATTCTTATCTCCAGTTCCTGTCTCTACAAGCAAGAGAGACCAGAAATATATGCACACAGCATGCTCTCATTTCTAATTTGCACCAATATATTAGTCAAGATTTCTGCTTCAACTTCCTGTAGTCACAAGGTTTGTCTGGATGAAGACGACTGTTTGGCCCATTGAATTTTATTCCTCCAAAACATTACAGGACTCCACTGCTTTCTGTCTCCCCAACTCAGGTCCCCAGCCAGCAGTGTTAAGTGCCTTGAGACATCCACTCAAAATGAAAGGAGCTGTACAGATATAAACTGTATTGCACTGAATGTAACTCGGGGCTTACCATAGGTAGCACTGAAATTGTAAACTTCCAAGCGAACCCACTGACTGAAGTTGAAATCCATCCCAATGTTCACTCTGCAGATATAACGTCCGGTGTCATTGACAGTGACGGGATTCAACACAAGATCTGAGCTGTTGCCATTTGGAACCTGCGTGTCAAACAAAAAGCAGTTTCCATTTATACTGGGTCTTTTTAAACCCAAGATAAGACTGCAAAGCATTTTACAGGGATGGCGAGCTGAGCAAGATAATAACAATACAATAATCAACAACAATAAAAATTACATTTGTATAGCGCCTTTCACTTCAGGAAGACGTCCCAAGGCACCTTATCATTTTGTCGAGACGTCTCAAAGCACTTCCCAGGATATAATGTAAAGTGTAGTAAATGTGTGTATTTTGTTTGTGAAATGTCAAACAAATTTCCACGGTAGGAGGTTGGGGGAGTGGGAGGAAATAGAGGGAGTTGGATGGAAGGAACAGAAGTCCAGAAGGTAGGTTTTAAAGGAACAAGAGAAAGCTTGTCCTGCGATCCCAAGAGGAAGCAAAGAGGTCACAAGGCGGAGAGATTGAGGCTTGGGGTTCAGTGGCTGATACGAGTATAGGAAGAGTGGCGCCATCTCTCAGTTAACGCTTCAAAGAAAGGCAAACTCACTCACTTGCAACTCAAACACAACACCCTCCTCTGAATGAGATTCTGTCTAAAATGTGCTCTGTGGCTACGAATGTGGTCATGTCTTCCCCATACAATACGTCAGGTGTCAGCCCGGTACAGCTGGTAGCACTCTTGCATCTGATGTTAGCAGGATGTGGGTTCACACCTCATGTCAGCACTATGAGCTCACATAGTCCACCCAGACCCTCCAGTTTAGTGTCACCATCACACACTCTCCTGAGTGAATAAATGCTCTGAGAACCTACCCTGTGTGGAGGGCGCTATCTTAGTGCAAGTTGTTGTGTTGACTGAAATGTTAGTTTCCTGTTGAGGTGGACATTAAAAGATCCCACAGCTCTATTCAAAAAGAGAGGGGAGTTTCTCTCGGTGTACTGGCCAACAATCCCCCAAATAAAATCGGTCATTCACTTCATGACTGCTTGTGGGACTCCTGTGCGCAAACAGGCTGCCGCATTCTCCTACAAGATATACAGGCACTGCACTTTACAGTAAATCTTGTGATCATAGGACTATAAGAAATACTAGACAAAAATAAGGAGGTTATAATACACAGGCCTGAAAACAGCTGAAGACAGTTTTACAGAACGTTTTTGGGTTGTTTTAGTGCATTTTCTTTCTCAGGCTGAGATGGAAATTTCAGACCAATGTTGACTTGTTCATTGGGTCATTACCCCACCAACCTGTCCGCTCCACCATTGGAGGTCGGGCCTTTAGCTTTTCTGCACCCAGCCTCTAGAACTTCATCTCGTAGGTCCTCCGTCTTTGCCTCCTTCAAGGCCCATCTCAAGATCCTCTTCAACCTCTTTGGTGGTCTTCTTACCACCACCCAACTAGACCTCCATCCTTCATGACTCCAGCCCACAGCTTGAGTGGAAACTCTTGACTGTCAAATGCTTTGGGATGTCCTCTCAATATAAAAGGCGCTTTACAAATGCAATTTTTGATTGTTGAGTCATGATATTTGTGGCTCGTACCTGATTTGGGTTGCATGAGACGCACATTCACTCCCACGTCTATTGGTGAGCCAATACTAGGCTACAAAAACAACAACTTGCATTCATATAGCGTCCCTCACGCAGGGTACCGTCCAAGATGATTTACAGTAGCCGGGGGAGCGAAAGGTGACTGTAGACATGGTTGAATAAGAAGGTCTTCAGGCGCGATCTGCAGATGGGGAAGGAAGGGGCAAGGCGGAGGGATAGAGGAAGAGTGTTCCAGAGTTTCGAGGCATAGTGGCTGAAAGCGCGGCCACCAATGGTGGAACAGAGGGCATGAGGGGCATGCAGACAGCTGGAGCCAGTCGAGCAGAGGCAGCGGGTTGTGGGGTAAGCAGGTCGGATAGGTAGGGAGGTGCTAGGGCATGAAGGGACGTGAAAAATATCTTTTCAGCGATAGGGAGCCAGTGGAGCCTGGCTAGAACTGGTGTGATGGGGGATGATGTAATGGCTAGCACTGGATCACAGAGAGGCAATCTATTGAATTTCCGGCAGAACAGTCGCCAATGATGAGGAAAGAGATTGACTACATTCCTGAATCAACAAATGACATGAACGTCTCTTCACCGGGAAGTCAGCGACAGGTAAAAAGGAGAAAAGTAAAAAGTTAAAGGAATTACAAAGTCTGTTCTGAAAGTCGAACAAATTCTTTCGACAAGGTCCCCTTGAAAATGACTGACATTAGAAACAGGTAATCAAAAGGACGTCCTCGAGGGTCTTGGTTCTGAAAATGGTCGTCTTTCAGCTGAGAATCTCAATATTGAGAAGAGTCAAGTGCAGAGCAGCACAGGACATCACCAAGAACAGAAAGAGTAGCATAGAGAACAACTACAAAATTATATTTGTAAAGCGCCTTTCCGGTCGGGAGGACGTCCGAAGGAGCTGAACAGTCAGGGATCAGGACCCGAGCCTGGGGTGGGGGTAGGGGGCGGCATGGTTGGGATGAGGGAGGGCAGATGGGGGTAGGAGGGCAGCTGAAGGCATGGTCAAAAAGGAGGGTCTTGAGTCATGCCTTGAAGGAGGCAAGAGAGGGAGCAAGGCGAAGGGATTGTGGGATGGAGTTCCAAAGAGTAGGAGCACAGAAGCTGAAAGTGGGTCGGGCGGGAGACTTGGAGCAGGCTGGAACCTGCTGAGTGGAGGGGGCGGACAGGTTGATGGGGGGGGGTCACCAGATCAGAGATGACCAAGTCATGAACAAAATAACTATACCTCCTCTAACACCTCAAATTCCTTGACAGCAACTACCATCCTGTCCTAGTGACTGTATTTGTAGCCGATCAATGGGTGTCATAAACAGACATGAGGTGAGAGAGTAATAAAAACAGAAGTCCCTGGGAAAACTCAGTAGGTCTATGGAGAGCAGAAAGTCAAGTTAACATTTCAGGTCGATGATCTTTCATCAGAAGAGTTGCGACCTGAAACGTTAAGCCACTTTCCTCTCTCCATTAGATGCTGCCTGACCTGCTGAGTGTTCCCAGCGACTTCTGTTTTTATTTCAGATTTCCAGCATCTGCAGTCGTCACCTTTTAGATGACAGAGCAATATGCCTTGAGGGGTGTTGGCCAGGGTTCTGTTTCACTTTTCTGATAAGTATGGTGGGATTCTTAACGTTCCCCCTGAACAGGCAGGCAGGAACTCATTTGTAAAATCTCACCCTGTAGGACGTCATCTCCGACAATGCAGTGCTGTCTTAAGTAGCGTCAGCCTGGTCTATGGGCTTAAATTCCAATGTTCTGGAGCTTTAACCAACAACCTGAGGTAAGAATGTACCAGCCTTTGATACCCTTGGGTTACTTAGTTGCATAGGGCTCCTCAAAGCCAACAGCGGGCCGTGGCTGATTGAGAGAATGATATTAAATGATAGTCTCCTCGAACCTGACCTGCTGAATCGTGCAAACAAATCTGTGTCAGCCTGGCTCTGTCGTTAGCACTCTCACCTGAATCAGAAGTTTCAGGGGTTCAAGCCCCACATCAGGGCTTTGAGCTCATATAGTCTAGGCTGACACTCCAATACTGTGCTGGGGGAAGCTCAGCATTATGAGATGTTAAACCGAGGTTCCGTCTACTTGTTTAAAGCTGCCATTCAAAAAAGAGAAGGGGGGTTCTCCCGGTGTCCTGGCCGACAATCCCCCAAAATAGATTCCGCCATTCATTTCACATATATTCGTGGTATATCACTGTGCACAAATTGGCTGCCGTGTTCGCCCACAAAACACACAGTCACAGTCGATACACATTACAGTAATCTACACAGCACTTTGTACCAAATGTAAGGATTGTTCGTGTGTTTGTGTTTGTTTATTCACCTCGACTTGCATCTTGAACCATCGATACTCCACGACGTGATGTGCTGCCGCTTGGCATCGTAACCTGACCACCTGGCCGGCCAACACCGCCTGTGGCACCGGCTGAATGATAATCATCAGAGACACTGAAAGAAACAGGAAGAGGAAGGAGGGTGTCGAGGCCAAAACAGAGAGCTTTAATCCCGTAGGGTAGGGGCTAGCGCGCTCGCCTCGCAAGCGATGGGACTCGAATTCGATTCCCGGGTGGAGCGAAACCTTAGGCAAGTTTACTCCACATGCCTCTGTTTACCCAGCAGTAAGTAGGAACCCGATGATAAGCCACCCAATGCGAGAGTGGCTTTTGAGCCCACCCACCTGTGCTTCCACACCCACCCCCTACCTCTGGTCATGAACACCACACACAAACACCCTCTTGGCTAAAGCTGACCCATACTGCTTGACTGCCTGCTGAGACTAACCTGCAGACCTGAAGAGCTGAATGGCTTCTGCGTGGTCCAATGCTTGAAGATAACCCGACAAATCTCTAAGAGTCATTCCCCGGTCAGCCATTAATCGCAGGAAATTCCGGGTGGGGCTGCCTTCGGGAGTCAGGACCTTGAGAGAGCAGTTATTCAGCTCCTCAGAGCTGGTCAGGGAACAAACCCCACAGGATTACAGAGTCACATGGAGTTACATAGAGTCCCACAGGTTACACAGATGGACAGTTATACAAAGTTTCACAGAATTGTACAGATTTACATAGTGATGTGATGCAGAGGCCATTTGGCCAAACTAATCGGTGGAGGTGTGCAGATTTATATTCCCCATGAGCCTCTACCTTTCCTATTATTATTATTAATTATATTATTGATATTAATAATAATAAAGCAGGGATCCTAGTTTTGAAAAGAACAACTGTCCTAACCAACAAATCTCCAGATAAACTGGTCATGGCTATTTGAAACATCTTGCTGAGTGAGTAATTTGGCTGCCAGGTTTGCTTTAAGGTATTCTGCGTCTTATATGCAATATAATGAAAATAACTATTTGGAGTTTTGTAAGATCTCAAGGCGATGGAGTTCTTACATTTAATCCACGTCAGAAGGACATCTCAAAGCCCTTCACAAGATTTATTACTCTAAAGTGTAGTGATTGTCTATTTTGTAGCCAATCTGCACACAGAGATGTCCCACAAACAATGAAGTGAGTGACCAATTTTATTGAAGGGAATTGTTGGCCAGGACATCAGGAGAAACTCTTTGAGTAATAATAATAATAATAATCCTTGCACTTCGGGAGGACGTCGGGAGGACGTCCCAAAGCGCTTCACAGAACACACTGTAAAGTGAATTGACTGTATATTTTTGGGCGAACGCGGCAGCCAATTGCGCACAGCAATGTCCCACAAACAGTAATAGATTGAAAATGACCAATTTTATTTTTGTTTTTGGTTTTTTGGAGGGATTATTATTAGGCGTGTGGAAACTTGCGTAAGGTTTCGCCCTGCCTGAAATTGAACTCAGGTCTCTCACTTGCAAAGCGAGTGCCATGGCACCTTTAATATCCAACTGAACAGGCAGACTGGGTCTTGGTTTAACATCTCATCTGAAGGATGGCACCTTCAACAGTGCAGCACACAATGGAGATTATCTTAGATTAAGTGATTCCAAGTCTCGACATGGAGCTTCTAACTCTTGTATGTTAGAAGCAAGAGCTCTACCACTGTATTGTATTGCAAACCACAAATCAACACTCCAAAAAGGCTGGAGGGACAATAATAGACATTCGAAAGTAACATGTTTGGCACATGCCAGCACTCTTACTCTACTTGTGGAAGACAGACAGACAAAGTGGTTTTCCTGAGTCTAGACTTCATCTGATATCGTGCCATCATCTGCTTACCTTCGCACTGACTGGTTTATTTTCCTCAGCTGCAATTAAAAGTTTCAGTTTCTAGCGCAAAGAGTGGAGTCAACCAGAGATGTAGAGAAACCAAATTTACACCAGATATTTACAATTATATTCCTCACACTCGATACAGTGCTGGAAGGTTCAAATTTCTAGACATTAAATCGAGGTCCTGTCTGCCTGTTCAGGTCGACGTGATAGAACCCACGGCACTATTCGAAAAGAGAAGGGAGTTTCTCCGGTGTCCTGGACAACACCCCCAAATAAAATTGTTCACGAGTTTCATGGCTGTTTGTGGGACATTGCTTGGTGCAAAATTGGCTGCAGAGTTCACCTACAGATACAGTCACTACACTTTACAGTAAATGTATAAAGCGCTTTGGGATGTCTTCTTGACCTGAAAGGCACTATATCAAGCCTTAAGGATTATTATGAATATAATACAATTTACATTTATATTTATAGTGTTTTTTTCATGTTATCAATCCAAGTTGTTGTTGTCATCTGCCTGAAAGGTGACCCCACTAGATTGCACAGGTTAAGGTAGGGACTTTCTGGGTGGAATTTTCCCCAAACTTACTCACCTGCACAATCAATGAGATAAAGGGCTTCACGCCCACTTTCAGGGCTTTCCATCATCACGTCATGTGCACAAACAGGAGTAACATCAAAGAGCTGCATGTAATTGGGAGCTCAGTGGATTAAAAACCCATTCACCACCTTTCATTCATCAGCCCCAGGTACCAATTTATTATTTGTCAGATTAGAGAGAATGAGACTGAAATACTGATACACACAATTCGCTCACGCCTGGAGGACACAGACATGGGCGAACAAGAGGAACTAGTCACAAGGGTCAAATTTTTAATCCAAGGCCAAATTTCAAACACGTCACATAGACCCTTAGCAGCAGCGATGAGGGGAGGCTTCTGTCACTCAGGTGTATGGTTTGGTGGACCTGGGTCCCAATGCTAGCAGATCAATATATTAATTAAATGCACCAACTTCCATTATTAATAACCTTTATATTTGACGCGGCGCCTTTCATGTCAGAAGGTCGTCTCAAAATGCTTCACAGGATTTACTGTGAAGGGTACTGACTGTATATTGCAGCCGAACGCAGCTGCTAATTTGTGCACAGCAACGTCCCACAAACAATCAAGCAGTGTATGACCCAGCCAGAGGGCAGGGCGAGGGACGTGAAGCAGATCGGGGCACGCCGATCAGAGAGCGCGGGCGAGTTGTTGGGGTTTTACAAGATCACAGAGCTAAGGTGGAGCGAGGTAAAGGAGTTTCTCCTTGTGTTCTGTCCAGCAATCCTCCAGATAAGTGAGTCATTCACCTGATATCTGTGTGAGGGGCCCTGCAGCCAAATCGTATGTTTTATTGAATAATCCCCGTTTCCCACACCTCTGCGCTTTGTATTTCAGACTAAACTTCGATCTCAGATTTCTTTTTTTTAATCCATGCTTTCTCTGTGGTATTTAAATGACTCTCGTGAACAGTCTTTCGCGTATTGAAAAATTTTCACTTGCTGTTCTGCTCTCCACTTCACAGGAGTTACTTTCTTCTATTTCATTCCAGTTTTATAAATAATATAATAATAATAATCCTTGCATTTGATACAGCGCCTTATTATGACGTCTTAAAGCGCCTCACAGAAAATACTGTAAAGTGGATTGACTGCGTATTTTGTCAGACAAACGTGGCAGTTATTTGCATACATTATCTCCCACAAACAGTCATGAATTGAGTGACCAATTTATCATTTTTTTTTAGAGAGGACCTGGGTTCGATTCTCAGGCAGAGCGAAACCGTAAGCAAATTTTCTTGCTTTGCAAAGCTTCACTCCGCCAGAGAATCAAACCCAGGTAAACTCTCTAAAAAATAATAAATTGGTCACTCAATCCGTGACTGTTTGTGGGACACCACTGTGCGCAATTGGCTGCCACGTTTCGCCCACAAAGTATACAGTCAATTCACTTTACAGTATATTCTGTGAAGCACTTTGAGACGTCTCAAAGATGTGATTAGGCGCTGTATCAAATGCATTATTATTATGGAGTCAAGACTGTCCTCTTCGACTGTGCCTTTGATCACCATTTTACTCCTACCTCTCCTAATCCCAAGCCCCAACTTGGGTGACTGTTCAGCACCTTGGGATGTCCTCCCGATGTGAAAGATTCAAAACAAATGTAATTTGTTGTTGTTGTTGTCTCGTTCCCCAATCTTCCTGTGGAGTCTTGCTCTCCTCTTGCCAGGGTTTACACTCCCCCCCACCCCCTCACCCACCATTTCACTCCCTGCTCTCTCAAGCTTTCCATTCTGGTGTGATTTAACTGATTTAATCGAGTTCTGTAGAACGATTCCGTGACAGAAAAAAACAAAGGCAAACTGCTCAAACTGCTGTATGAATAACTACAGTCAGTAACTGTCAAACTGATTGATAGGAATACATAGCAGCCAATTTGCACAAAGCTAAGGTTCCACAAACAACTATCTGTATGGTAGGAGGTGCCGTCATTCCAATGAGACGTCAAATCTATCTGCTCAGATGCCATTAAAGATCCCAAGGCATTAATCTGAAAACAAGAAAGTGATCTGGTTTTGGGCCCACAGATCCCTGAATCCCACCCTGGATCTGTTCACTTCAAGGCTGGTCGCGGGACATTGCCATGAGTAAATCGGCTGCGCATTCCCCAACAAAACACACAATCTCCGCACTTTACAGTCAACGCTTTGCAGCAGCTTGAAAGGCGCTGTATGTAATAATGATAATCCTTGCATTTGATACAGCGCCTTATCACGCCGTCAAGACGTCTCAAAGCGCTTCACAGAAGAGGATTGACTGTGAATTTTGTTGGCGAAGCGCGGCAGACGATTTTTCTGCACAGCAGTGTCCCGCAAACAGTCATGGAGTGAGCGACCGAATTTATCTGGGGGATTGTTGGCCAGGACACCGGGAGAGAGAAAATCCATTCTCTTTTCGAATAGTACCATTGGATCTTTAAAGTCAACTTGAACAAGATGACCTCGGTTTAGTATCTTATCCGTAGGATGGCACCTCCACTAATGCAAACCACCCCACCCCCACCCCCCAACCCACCCATCGCTGCCCTGGAGCTCGTTATCTTAAGACTATGAAACTCCGCTGACTCTGCTGACTCGGAAGTGATAGTGCTACCTCTCGAGCCGAGACTGACAGGCAAAATGCAAAGAAGCGTGAGGAAAGTTACCTGATTTTGAAACGCTTGTCAGCGCTCGCCATCTCCGCCAGCTTCCTCCACCCGCTTTGGTCCAGCAAGTGGCTTAGCTTGTTCAGCAGGGGCTCGTTCAGGTGGCTGATGTTCAGCGATGGTACGTGTGGGATCTCTGCCATCCTCAGCCCTGGATCGAACAGTCACTGGGGCAGGCGGGAGGGGAACAAGCTTCTGGTCTTCACTCTCAACTGAAATGACAAGAAGTCTCAACTCAGGTCAGAACCACCTACACAGAGGAATAAAAATATTAATAATAATCCTTGCATTTGAGATAATAATAATCCTTCCATTTGATTTAGCGCCTCATCAAGTCGTTGAGATGTTTCAAAGCGCTTCGTAGAATATACCGTAAAATGTAGTGACTGTGCGTTTTGGGGTGAAACGCAGCAGCCAATTGCACGCAGCAATGTCCCACAAATAGCTGTGGATCGAGTGACCAAGTTATAATTTTTTTTGAGAGAGGGAAACAGAGAGAGTGTGTGTGAATTAGTTTCCGTGTTTAATATTAAGCAGACTTTAAACCGTAAAAAAAATGTGCTACCCTTAGCTCACAATGTCTTTCTCTCTCTCGCTCTGAAACAACAAAGAACCGTAAAGTGAAATAATTTGAATACCTGTTTTTCTTTTGTCTAATTTAAGCAGAAAACTATGAATAGCGTCACTTACAGGAACCCTACAGCCACCCACTTAAACCCACACCCACACACACTCACCTCGCGGATTCCAAGAAATGCCAATTTCGCAACCATAACTTTTTACAAGATTTGAGGAAGTCACATCTCATTCGATCTGTCTCGGTCCAAGTGGCCGGCAACAAGATATAGGAGGTGACGGCATTATCTCACTGGGTTTTGGGACATCTTCGCTCTGCGTTCTTTGGGTTAACCTAACTCGGGAACAAAGGAGGACGCCCAGAATCGTCTATATGAGTGTGTAGCACCGCCACCCACCAATTCAACGTAGATCTCTTCTTCCTGGTGTTTCTGCTCTGGATTGAAACAGGAAGCCCCGAGCCAATCACGGCCCAGGCCAGGTAGCTCTGGGAGTTGTAGTCTCTACGACGAGTGACTTTGGTGAAGTTTGGGTACCGTTTCGCCCACAAAATATGCAGTCACTTCACTTTACAGTATATTCTGTGAAGCACTTTGAGGGGTCTCGAAGATGTGATAAGATGCTATATCAAATGCGAGGATTATTATCCACGCGACTTACCTTTGAGTTCTGACGAAGGGTTGTGGACCCGAAATATTGACTCACTTTCCTTTCTCCATAGATACACGTGAGTGTAGTGACTGTTTATTTGTAAGTGAACGTGGCAGCTACATATAGCAATATTCCCCCCTCCACACGCAAACAAACACAAACAGACCCCCCCCCCCCCTCCCCCCAAACTACCACGGAACAACAACTTGCATTTATATAGCACCCTTCACGCGGGGCTGCATCTCGGAGCGCTTAACAGTGGCGGAGTCTGACCCCGAGCTGGAGAGAGGAACGAGGTGACGCAAACAGCCGCGAAGTGAATGGACAATACTATCTGGCAAGGACACTGGGACTTTCTCAGAGTGAGTTAGATAACAAGTTATTTAGATAGACTCAGTTGGTAGGAATCTTACCTCGAGTCAGAGGGTTTTGGGTTCAAGCCCCAGATTGGGATTTGAGCTCACACTCGAGGCTGATTCTCCAGTGCAGTGCTGGGGGGGTGGGGCAGAGCTGCATTCAATGGTGGACTGGTTTCCCCGAAAGATCTTAGGATTTTCATGGGAAAAAGGGGTGGGGGTTGCCGATTTGTGGGGTCACCAGCGCCAAAAAGAATACACCAATGCACAAAGGCACGGTAGCGCCCTCCTATAATTGGTATATAATAATAATAATAATAATAATAATCCTTGCATTTGATATAGCGCTTTTCACGTCGGGAGGACGTCCCAAAGCGCTTCACAGAACACACTGTAAAGTGAATTGACTGTATATTTGTGGGCGAACGCGGCAGCCAATTACGCACAGCAATGTCCCACAAACAGTCATATGGATTGAAAATGACCAATTTATTATTGTTTTTTTTTTTTGGAGGGATTATTAGGCGTGTGGAGTAAGGAAACTTGCCCAAGGTTTCGCCCTGCCTGGAATTGAACTCAGGTCTCTCACTTACAAAGCGAGTGCTCTAACCACTGAGCCACAGGACTCCATCCGAACCCTGGCACTACAACAAACACTTGTAGCACCCGGGCTTGGGGTGAGGGCAAGGGGATGGTGGTGGATCGCTGGCACATAACCATTATGTCAGATATAATGGAGTCCTGTAGCTCAGTGGTTAGAGCGCTCGTCTCACAAGCGAGAGGAACTGGGTTCGATTCCCGGGCAGGGCGAGATGTTGGGCAAGTTTCCTTACTCCACACGTCTCTGATTACCTGTCAGTAAGTTGGAACCCGATTGTTAATCGATTAGCGGATCGCTTTTCTGGGGTTTGAGCCCCCTCTAGCCCTAGCCACCCACCACCTATATATTTTTTTAAAAATCAGGTGTGCATTGGAGATTGCTAGATTAGCACTGAGCTCTCAGTTCAGATAGTCCATTGCTCTGGCTCTGCATGTTGGGGCTGCCCTCTACCACTCATTGGTGGGGTGGGGGGTGGGGAGAGGGGGAAAGATTCAGTTTAATTTTTTAGAGACTGCTTTCACTACACAACTGTGTAATTGCAAACTCTGAACCAAGCGCTAACTAGTGCTAAACCCTACTTACATGGCAATACTGGCGTCAAGTGACAGTATTAGGTTGCAGCTTGGCTCACCTCCGAGTCAGAGGGCTGTGGGTTTGAGCCCAACATCGGGATTGACACTCCAGCTCTGTGGTGTTGGAGGTGCCGTTCTTTGGGTGAGACATTAAATTGTGATCCCATCTACGTGTTCAGTGCACCTTAAAGATCCCACGAGCAAGATTCTTCTGTTGTCCTGGACAAAATCTCCGCAGATAAAATCGGCCATTCACATTTTGGCTGTTTGTGGGACACTCTTAGATCAAGTCATCTGTTGTGTTTGCCTGAAAATTACACAATAAATCCTGTGAAGTGTTTCGAGCCATTTTCCCAAAGTGAAAGGAGCTTTACCAATGCAAGGGTTATTTATTAATTCTATACAATATGGAATTCAGCTCTTTTAAGAACTAAAGTAAAACAGGTTCAATAGATTAAATTTAAGGATTTTCCAATGAATTCTGTAAAATTTATACTCTCGGGGAGTGTAAAAAAAAATTTGGTCACTCAATCTATGACTGTTTGTGGGACACTGCTGTATGTAATTGGCTGCCGCGTTTCACCCACAAAATACACAGTCAATTCATATATTCTGTCAAGCACTTTGGGACGTCACAACGAGGTGATGAAGTGCTAAATCAAATGCAAGGATTATTATTTATTATTATTGCTAAGTGTCAGTTTGGCTCAATAGTAAAACTTTTATCTCCAAGTCAGAAGGTTGTGGGTTCGAGCACAACATTGGGATTTTTAGTTCAGAGTCTAGGCTGACATTGCAATATTGGGGGAGGGCTGCATCGTTAGACGTGCCATCCTTTGGATGAGGCGTTAAAAGAAGTTCTTGTCTGCCGGTTTAGATGGACATTAAAGATCCCATGGCGCTATTCAACAAAGAAAAGGGAGTTTCTCCAAGTGTCTTGGCCAACAATCCCCCAGATAAAACTGCTCATTCACTCCATGGCTGTTTGTGGGTCATGACTGTGTGGAAATTGGAGTTTGCCTACAAAATACACAGTCACTACACCTCACAGTAAAATCTTATGAAGCGCTTTGAGGCATCTCAATTACATGATAAGGCACTATATCAAATACAGGAATTATTACCTTAAATTTCAAAGTCGCATAGGCTTGCGGTGGTGCAATACAATTTATAATTTCTGTTTTTTTAGTGCTTATCATGTCGGAAGGAAATCTCAAAGCATTTGACATTGCTGGCTGGGGGGAGGGAATGGGGAATCTAATGGTGTGCTTACAGCCTAAGAATTGGTGAAATTTAGGATCCTTGTGCTCTTTCTTTGTGAAGTAACACTATAGAAAAATAATGTCTTTTGTCAGTGCGTGGTTGCATTTCACACTACATTTTACGTTTCCTTCACAAAATAGTTACTTACCCAGTGTATCCTGTGAAGCGCTTTAAGACATCTTGATGACATGATAAGGCGCTAGATCAAATTCAAGGCTTATTATTATTATTATTACACTGTGGGGGGGAGGAGGGAGGGGGAAAGACGATATCAATTACAAGCACCTGATCCGATACAGAGCATTACTGAAACCTATCATTACGTCGGACAGCTCTGGGTCAAGATTCACCTCACTGTTTTGCCTGACTGGCATAAGTGTCAGAAGAGATCCTTAAGAACATTCCCAGAATAGATAGCGCTTGTGCAAGAGGTGTGAATTACACGTTACTGTGGAGGGGAATTGAGCCACGCAAATAGATCATTGCACTGAAGGACATGGGGACTGATTGAGGTGTCTGTGATCAGTGATATTTCTTTTCAACGCTCAGACAGTAACTACAAGGTACGTACCAAGCTGGGGATTAGCAGGCATGCTGATTTAACAGTACAGTTAGATGATTCTGTTGTATAATACATTCACATTCTTTATTTTTTTTTCCTTCATTTGTAGAAATTGAAAGCGCGATTTTTCAAAACAATATATAGACTTCAAGTTTAACCGCTTGGATGATATTATTAATAATAAGAATCCTCGCATTTGATATAGCACCATATCGCTTAGTTGAGACATCTCAACAACAACAACAGCAACATTACATTTATAGAGTGCCTTTCATGTCGGGAGGATGTCCCAAAGCCCTGAACCGTCAGGTGTCGGGGTCCGAGCATGGGGGAGAAGGCAGAGAGGTGGGAGGGAGACCGAAGACACGATCGAAGAGAAGGGTCTTGAGACCGGCCTTGAAGGAGTGTTTCAGAGAATAGAATGTGAAGTTTGTGGGCGAAATGCAGCAGCCAGTTGCTTTGCGCACAGCAATGTCCCACAAACAGTCGTGGATTGAGTGACCATGTTGAATGTTATTCAGAAACGAGTATTGGAAAAAAAAGGAATTTACAATTATAGGTTTGTAATTGGTCACTCAATCCATGGCTGTTGGTGGGACGCTGCTGTGCGCAATTGGCTGCTGCGTTTCGTCCACAAAATATACAGTCAATTCACTTTACAATATACTCTGTGATGCGCTTTGAGCCGTCTCAATGACAAGATAAGGCGCTATATCAAATGCAAGGATTATTATAATAATATAAGCGTAGAGAGGGTGCGAGTGAGGAGAAAGTGTGTAAGTGTGAGGGTGGAGGGAATATGTTTGTAGAGACAGGGTGTGTGTAGAGAAAGTGTATGTATGTCTGTGTGTCTGAGTGTGGAACGTGTATGAATTTGTAGTGCTGGTGTGGGGCACAGCCTTCTGCCCCTGAGCCAGGCTGACGCACTTTATGATTTTATGATCAGAAAGTTGTAAATTCTCTAATAGCAGACAGATTGCTAATTCATTTACTACACTTCAGGGAGCAATCAGGAGCCAGACTTCATGTCACGATGTAATAAAGGATCTAGCTCTATGCCAAAAGTACTTACCGTGCTTTCAAATATAATTATAGTGGGGTTGAAGGAGATGCGTGCTGTTGACAATTCCCCTTCAGCCTGGCTCGGTCATTACCACTGTTACCTCTGACTCAGAAGATTGTGGGACCTAGCCCCACGTCAGCAGTCTGAGCTCACAGTCTTGGGTGACACTCCAACCCAGCTTTGGGGGGCGCTGCATTGTCAGAGGTGCTGTTCTTTGAATGAGATATTGAACCATGGCGCTATTCGAAAGGAGCTTCTGCTCTGTGTCCTGGCTAAAAAATTCCCAGGTATAATCAGGGGCAGAGTGCCAGAAGGCCCACCCGCCAAAGGTGGGGGCCGGCGAGGTGGAGTACATGAATCAGGC